TTTGCATTTATAACATTTAATAGGTTTGTTAGTTTTATCTTTATCATAATTCAATTTATGAAAATTTCTCCTTTTCTTGTAAGGTCTAGAATATGATTTTCGTTTTGTTTGAGATTTATCCTTTGGAATCTCAAAAATATAGGCGAATTCACTACAAAATTCTCCTAATTCTTTATGACCTGTTAATCTCTGTCTTCTAAGCTGAGCTTTAAGATTTAGACAGAGAGCTAATCCTTCTAATACACATTCAAAAATTAATTCTCCGTAAATATAATTTTTGTAAGGAATTTTAAATCCATCATGTCTCGGTTTTAAACAAATTCTTATTTTTTAGACAAATAGGCTGGGTAATCCTGATATGAATTCTTCTTTCTAAAATTGATTGTTAGCATCAGTTATTAATAGGACTTTAGCAAAAAATACATCTTTATACCACCTCTGCGTTTAAGTTAGGGTATCTTAGATTCATTAAGAGTTCTTTACTCTTATCTGTATTTTGTAGGCTTGTCCCTACAAAGTGTTTTAAAATTGTTTGTATTAATATATATACAGTGTCTTCTTGAGTTGTTATACTTCCTTCAGTAGCTATTATTATTTTTACTGCATTTAATATTTCAAATCTTTGGGTTAAATTTAAGTAGTTATCCCACAAGTCTCGTAGTTGACCAGTAAATTCAGCTGTAATAAATTTAATAGTGTTATGATATGTATTTCGATTGGCTTTACATACAGATGCATACATAAGGATTTTATGTAAAACTTGATGAATTACATATTTAGATATACCATCAATATTCCACTCATAAATGGATGAAGCATCATATCCAGTTTGTTCAATAAAGAAATTTTTCTCATATAAAACATCTTGAAGTATGGATCTTTGATAATAAGGCCTCATTGGAGGTGCTTGAGAATAAGTGTTAGTTTTTTTTTTAGGTTTAGAATACCCAATCTTATTTACTTCAGACTATATTTGATACAAGGATTCTTCAAACTGTTGAATTTCAGTTTCAGATTGTTTTACACTCAGTTTGAGAAATTATATTTAAGGATAAATTTTTTAATTTATTTTTTAGTTTAGTTAGGAACTCATCTTCAACCTTGTTATGAAGATTAAATTTTGATGTGTCAACTGGAGGTTTAATATTTCCTTTCTCAATTTCAATTTCTTTTTCCTTTAAGAATTGAGAAGTGAACCTTCTTGTTTATATTGATCTTTAATCAATTTTTCAATTCTTGTCAAATGTTGTCCTACAACTTGTAAACAAATATTTGTATAATTACTTTGTTTAATTGAAATATTACTACTGATATCATTATCTTTTAGTGCATAGTAAGCATTCATTACTAATTCTCTTGCTCCATTTAAATCTAATTTAATTGGTTTAGAAGTTGGATGATAATTATTAGTTATACTTTTTCCTTTTAAAGTTTCTCATTTTTGTTAAAACTTTTCAATTACATTCAATTGCTCAACTATGGGTGGTGCATTATACATTAAAAACCATTCAACAAAAGGAATTATCCTTTTTTTCTCTCTCAATAAAAGAGTAAAACATTTCTTTATACCTTGATAAATCTTCTTTGGTCATACTTTGAAAATGCCAAGTTCTAAATTCCTCATATTTAGGAAGATAAAATTCTTGATTTATTTCTTTTCTATTTACTATAAATTTATCTAGTTTTAAAACCATAAAATTTATAGTTGAAATCGATTTTGGATATTGTTGGGTCTTGATCTTCCTCTAAGGAAGATTCATTATCTTATGCATAAACTCCATGTGGAATTTGGTTATGCGAGGTGTGGATTCCTTCAATTATATGTTTTTTCCCTTTCTTCTGTTAGGAAGAAAAGAAGTGGACCTCCTGCAAGAAGTATTGTATACTGACGAAGTGCTTCATTTATTAGAGATTTTTAATTCTGAAAAACTCTCTCTTGCAAAACTTATTAACACATCACCATGAGATGATTGGGCGATCTGTGTTACTTCTTGATTTACTTTAGGTTTCCTGGGACAACAGCATCTCACTGCCATATTTCTGAAAACTGAATTTCTAATCATTTAATAGTTTTAGCAATTTCAATTTTATTCTTTATCATATTTGTTTCAATTAGAGTTGTTTGACCTTTAAGATTATGAAGCTTAGCTTCTGGTGATAAAATATTCATTACTTTATAATAGACTCTGATGAAGTACAAAAGTGGATTTATGCATAATTAATCAATTGAGTGTGATGTAAAGTGATTAATAAAATAATAAATAATAAGAGACAAAGATTGGGTGGTTAGCTCTGGGTGACTTGACCATTGAAGGTGGTAACAGTGGCTGAAAAGCTCTATTAATAAGAGAGTACAAGGTAGTATAGGAGAGAGAGAGAGCAATAGCACGCTCAAGGTGAGGTGTGAGAGATCATCTTACCCCATTTGTACGGGGATTTATAATTTATAGGCACAGAGTCATAGTCGAGGCGGTGATGTTAGGGTCAAGGTACTAGTTTATCAGAGAAGATAACTATAATTGAGGATGAGCACTATCTTAGATTAATGGTTATCCCGATAATTGCTCTTCCACGTGCGTTGACTCTTCCTGGACTCTTACGCTTTGAATTGGACTGAGGCTATGAGGTAAGTCTTGCCTGCCTTTTGATAATTTGGGCTTAACCTTTGAACTATGCCCATCATGTGCCCCCTATGCCCCAAAGCCCTAGTGTTGATAGGGGGTTGAGGGCATGAGTGAGCTCTTTCAATTGGGTAGACTAGATATCTTGTTCCACATGGCAACTTCTTTAGTTTTTCACTTTATCGCATTTCGAAGCTTATTCCTCCATTTAGTAGCGCCATTGTTGGAGACCCACTGTGGTAGCACACAATTTCCTCTTTCGGGTCTCTCATTGGATTTGGGAAAGGTTCATTCCTCTACATTAGAAATACCATTTTCTGATTAGAGTTAGGAAAGTGTCATTCTCTTTCTGCTTTCCACAAGGAGGAGAGAGAAAAAGAGGCATGGACGCTGTGCAAGGAGATAGAGATGCTTTAGCGAGTAGTGCCTTGGAAAGGGAGAGAAGCTTGGGTGGCGCTATGGATATAAACCTAGACAACACCAGGGCAGGCGTGAGGCTGGGCGGTGCCATGGGCGACACCATGGAGGACCCGGACAAACTAATGATGTCTTCACTTTTTGAAAATTCTCTCTTTCATAGGTAATCCCGTGGTTAATAGATCAATGGTGAAGGCTCTCGCTGTCACTAGGATGGTGACTCCCCTCCTCTTAAGAGGGTGAGATCTGATGCCCCCAGTGCTTCCCAGGTGAGGTCTGACTGCTCTGCCATTTCTTAGAAGACGGGGTTTGTTGCCCCCAGCGCTTCACATAATTGTCCTACTTCTAGCAGTGGTTTGGTGTCTATGCTACAAGATGTGAATTTGGCTAAGGAGAGGTTTTGGAGGTGTATGACACCCTCGGATATTAGAGAGGTCAATTCTTAGGGTCTTGAGGGTATCATTGATACTGCGATATAAGGCTTTGCTATGATACTCTGTTATGTGGAGCCATGTCTTCTGTATTTTTGGGCATACTGACATTCTTAATTTTAGATATTCACAGATGACTACGACTTTTTCGTGTTTTCGAGGATGCTCAAACTCGATGAGGTGTCGAGAGCTTTGGTAGAAGAGAAACCGGGGTGCCAGGCTGTTAAGTAGTAGTTAAGGTTGGCTCATGAGAGAACAAAACCTCTAGAGGCTGAGCTTTTAGGAGATCGAGGCTACTTACGTGAGAGCAGCGGCAAAGTGAGGTCGAACTTCTGACAACTCGTGAGAGAGGCGCTAAGATGAAAACATTGGCTATTTGAGAGCAGAGGTAGGATTATGTCAAGCTTCTGGCGACTTGTAAGAGAGGCGCTAAGCTGGAAATATAGACTGCTTGCGTGAGAGCAGAGGCAGAGTAAGGTTGAGATTTTGGCAACTTATAAGAGAGACACTAAGCTGGAAACATAGGTTGCAGGCTGCTTGAGAGTAGAGGTAAGATTAAGTTGAGAAAGACGCTAAGCTAGAAACATATGCTGCCTGCGTGAGAGTAAAGGCAGGATTAGGCCGAGCTTTTGGTGACTCATGAGAAAGCCACCAAGTTGGAGACATAGGTTGCATGCGTGAGAGCAGAGGCAGAGTAAGTCCGAGATTTTTGCGACTCGTGAGAAATTCGCTAAGTTGGAGAGGGGCTGCTTGCGTGAGAGTAGAGATAGAATTAGACCAAGCTTCTAGCGACTCATAAGAGAACTGCTAAGCTGGAGATTGAGGTTGCTTGCTTGTGAGTGGAGTAGAGTTAGGTCNTTGCGTGAGAGTAGAGATAGAATTAGACCAAGCTTCTAGCGACTCATAAGAGAACTACTAAGCTGGAGATTGAGGTTGCTTGCTTGTGAGTGGAGTAGAGTTAGGTCGAGCTTCTTGTAACTCGTGAGAGAACCACTAAGTTGGAGACTAACGCTTCTTGCTTGTGAGTGAAGCAGAGTTAGACTAAGCTTTTGGCAACTCGTGAGAGAGGCGCTAAGCTGGGGATTGAGGCCTCTTGAGAGCAGAGGTAGGATTAGATAGAGTTTTTGGTGACTCGTGAGATAGGTAATAAGCTGGAGATTGAGGCTGTCTGTATGAGAGTAAAGGCAGAACTTGNACTCGTGAGAGAGGCGCTAAGCTGGGGATTGAGGCCTCTTGAGAGCAGAGGTAGGATTAGATAGAGCTTTTGGTGACTCGTGAGATAGGTAATAAGCTGGAGATTGAGGCTGTCTGTATGAGAGTAAAGGCAGAACTTGGCCGAGCTTCTAGTGACTCGTAAGAGTCTCTCCCAAGAGACAGAGAGGGGAAGAGAGAGGACAACTTGGGTAGCCAGAGGGCACCGGTAGGATAGAGTCGGTGGAGCATGGATGTCGAGCACGAAAGTGAGGCTGCATGATGCGCGAGGAGGGGTGACATAGGCACCTAGGGCACTGCTAGATGAGCTAGGCACATGATGCGTGCAGTGAGCTTAGGCAACGCCATAGGCACAACGGGTGGCCTAGGCGACACCCTTGGCACGGCTGAAGGTGACGCTTTACTAAGTGAGCTTGGAGTTGAGGTATCTCATCCTTCCTCTCTATCTAAATCGAGCATAGGTGTAGGAAGCGGCGCCAGAGTGGGTAGCAAGTTAGGCACCCTGTGCACAGGAGGCGCCAGATGAGGTAGGATGGGCGATGTGCGTAGGCGTAGGAGGCTGTGCTAGGCAGGCGAGGCAACGCACTCAGGCGCAGGAGACTGGGCCAAGCAAGCGAGGTAGGGTGACATCCGAGCAGGCACAGAAGGCGGTGCCAGGCAGGCGAGCCAAGGCGACACCCACGTAGGTGTTGGGGGTGGCGCCAAGCAGGTTGGGCGACACCTACGTAGGCGTAGAGGGATCAAGCTAGGTGCTGGGCACTTGCACTTGGCACGTGGTGCTGGCGCAGGGCGCCTGGACATCGAGTGCTAGGTGAAGTACGAGAAAATCATGAAGAAACGACAAAATTTTGAACGACCATAGCTTATACACTCGGTTGTCCGTTTGAGATGAATTTTTTTTTTGAATCTGGGTATTTTCTGTGATCTACTACAACCAAATTGTGTACGGCAGTTTGGGCACCAAATTTTTCCAAAAAATGCTTACTTTTCACTGAATTTGAGTTTTAAACACAAATTAGTAAAAAAGTAAAATTTTCTCTTGTTTACTTGTCGTCGGTGGTGGCAAGACCTCATCATGATGTGGCAGGTCATCTTCTTCTTGGTGGTTCATGGATCTAGTTATGATTGCCATTGGAGGAAGGAAGATTGTAGGGTGAGAATCAAATTGTTTTCCACATACGGCATCAAACTGATGATGCACAAAAGTGGATTTATACACAATTAATCAGTCGAATGTGATGTAAAGAGATTAATGAAATAATCAATAATAAGAAACAAAGATTGAGTGGTTGGGTCTGGGTGACCTAACCACTGAAGGCAGCAACGGTTGCTGAAAAACTCTATTAATGAGAGAGTATAAGGTAGTAAGGGAAAGAAAAGACAATAGTACACTCAAAGTGAGATGTGAGAGATCATCTTACCCCATATGTAGGGGGTTTACAATTTATAGGCACAAAACCCTAACTGAGTCAGTGACGTGAGGGTGAAGGTACTAGTTTATCGGGGAGGATATCTTCAATTGGGGATGAGCACTCTGTTAGATTAATGGACATCCTGATGATTGCTCATCCACGTGCGTTGACTCTTCCTAGACTTTTAGGCTTTGGATTGGACTGAGGGTATAAGTTAAGTCTGACCTACCTTTTAATGGTTTGGGTTAACCCATGAACTGGGCCCAGACCTGGTCTGAATTTGGGCTCGTTAGACTCTATGGGTGAAGATCATAATATTAGTTCCTTCTGTAAACTTATAACCATAAGTTTTAATATTACATGTTAAAACATCTAATATATTTCTATCAGTTAAAGATACCGATAAATTTGGAAAACAGTCAAAGTATACTGGTCTAGTACCTAAACTAGATTGCATTACTCCCATTATAGATTGGTCAAAATCTAAACATCTAGCATCTCTTAAAGTTAGCATAAAAGAAGAATTTAATCCTTGGACGGTTAATGGTTTTAAAACCATTTGGACTAACCCAAAATGTAGAAATTTGTAGTTTTCTTGTGCCTTTAAGACTTCTCTATCTATTAAGAGTTGTAAAGTATCTCCATATTGATCAAAGGGAATTGTTCTTTTAACGTTTAAATTGTTATGCTTGATTTAAAATTAAAAGTTCTAATATTATATATTTTCTTAGTTGGATACTGGGGTATATCTCAGTTTTGTAATTTACTTTCAATATTTGAAAATTCGACTTCTTCAAGATTCTTTACATAATCTTCTTTATGTTTATTACCTAATTTAAATAGGTTTAATGCCAATTTTCTTTCTTCAAAAAGACTCTGTTAATATATATGCTTTACTATTACCTTCATCAGGTTGCTACAGTGACCTTTGCTATAGTAATTCTGCCATAGTGTTCGTCTTCCTTTTTTCTACTCTTGCTGTCAACAATTTATGGAGATCACAAAGACAACCTCACTTCTATCTCTCGGAAACGGACTAACATCCCTACGCGACTTAGGTGCAAAACCATAGAAATCAAAAAGAAAAGAATTATAACATAATTAAAGTAATAAATTCAACATAACAGTAGCATAGGAGATTTGGATCACAATTACAAAAGTTACCATTTATATATAAATATAACAAGGGAACTTATTTACAATAAAAGGGTATTCAAGTCTTATATATTTTTAGGTAGACTTTTTTACAAAATATTTTTTCTTATGTACTTTTTGACAATTAAGTCTAATTTTGTGTACCGACTTTCCAAGAACCCAATAAGAAATGAGTAGGAGTCAAAACAAGACTTACTTCGTGAGAAGACCAAGTTTCTAATCCCAACTGATAGGCCTAATCCTTAGGTAGGCTACTTTGTCCCTATTATGTTGAATGTTACTATTTTAATTTTAATTGTTATTATTATTGATTATTATTGTGTTCACAAAATATTTTTTCTCTCTCTATATATATATTAGAGATAACCCGTGCTTGAAGGCTCAGTGCAATTAAAAAAAATTGAGCATTGAATTAGAATGCGAAATAATCAAGCACTAAACCCAAGACACAGACTAAGCTGAAAACCTAAATTGACCCTATATCACGTGTCTGAAGGCACTGTACAATTAAAAAAAAAAGAGCAAACATTATTTTTGCACCATGAAACAATCAACATTGAACATAGACAGGCATTAAGCTGAAAATTGTTTGTTCTTTTTTTACTGTCATGACTTTAGTGAAATAAAAGGGATAAAAATGCTTTCTTTTCAATTGTTAGAGGGATGATTAAAGCCCGAATGTACCGTTTATGCTAAACAAAAATTTTCAATGTTTAATCCAAAAGAATTGATTTTGATCTTTTAAAAATATTTGGACATAATTTTCCCTAAAAATATGATCCCCATAAATTATCAACCTATATAAGCAATCAATAAAATACTAATTACACCATCCACCATCTAGAAAATGTTAACTAAACAAATAAATTGTGATTCTATATTGCAATCCTCAACTTATATTGCATCAATTTAATTAAATTGTGTTATCTATTTTAAACGAAGACCCACAAAACAATTTGTGGTGCCTATACAATGGACCAAGTAAAATGTACGTGTCTGTACAAATTTATACATCTAAAACAGTAAAAAATCATTCGTTCTACATGAACAATTATCTGAATACTTGTATAAGTGATAGACAAAACATAAAATTCTTCAAAAATTGGAATAAACCAATTGGTCAATCACAGACAACTTTAATCACACAACAAAATGATATAAATTACTTCTAAATCAATCGTTATCTTAATGAATGAACAAAAACCCTAGCAAGAGGTATTGAATTACATTTTGGGTCATTATAAAATTTGCCCAATTCAAAAACCAAGCTCCTTTTTGTTTTACATTAATGAGAGAAATTGAAATCAATGTAAGAAACTTTCAAATTTTTGACAGAGTATCCTCTAAAAATATAATGCCATAAATATATCAACTTATTTACAAAACTTATATATTTCATAATCATAACCAAACCATGTCATATGTATGCTGAAATCCAACTATGTACCAACTACCACAACAACATAATAGTTTTTACCATCATCTTTACATAAACACAATTATTTACTGACTACGACTAAAACATCATAATATTAACCATCTTAATGCCTAAAAATGACTACTTACCAATTATTTTAACCATCATAATTTGTCGTGCAGTTTGACCCATCTTCAGGGAGAAGGACGTGTACACGACAAAAAGATGTGCATTTAGATAGCGTCACATATAGATGTTCATGACTAAAGACTGGTGTTAGCAAATCAACTCCATCAAATTTCACAGATTATCCTTAAGACTTACTAATTGTCATAGCATATGTTAACCAGATAGGAAATTGACATCGAGTTATTTAAAATGGCAATTCTAAAGGTGTCAGTGCCAAATATAATCTTGGAATAAAGACCAAGTCACCAAATTTGTCTCCATTTAATATCCTAGCTTCAATTACATGCACACCACATCTGATAACCATCAATCGTATCCCATTACAAAGATCATCTTTCAATGCAATGTTCTTTAACAACATTATTGGACAACCCACTTTTAGTTCTAACATAAAAGGTGGAAAACCTGAAGGATTCAAAAAGTTCAAATACTTGTTAGGAAATCAGTTTGTGATGGTTTGATCAATTTCATCAGCATTCGACATTTTATCTACAGCTAAATAGATGATTGTCTCTCCGGGGGAAATTTGCAATGCTCCAACATTTATAGCACTAACATCATTATTGCGGGCTAAAAGTATCATGTGTTCACTTAGAAATTATGGGGTCATTGTACCAATCACTTCCAATCATGGATAAACACTGTAAATCAATTAGTGGAGATTACGACATTTGTGTATTGTTGATGGAAGTTTTATAATTTCACGTGGGTTGGTGTCAATCTAAAAATTAAAAAAAAATAAAATTAATGAATAATCAAAATCAATATATATCATAAAATTGGAGATCAATGAAATGTTACATCCATTAAGAAATTTTCAAAATTTGCATTTCCAACATATGTTCTATTTAAACGCATGTTTAAATTCAAGGTCAAAACATGTATATCCTCCATAACACAGACTGCCTGAATGAAGCACCCACAAATTGCTTGCGAACTCCCTTTTGTATAACTGGTAAAATTTTTTGAAAGTCTCCACCAAGAACGACAATGATACCCCCAAACAACTTTGTACTGTCACAAAAATCTTGGAGTGTATGATCTGCTGCCTCAACACAAAATCTATGATGCATAGGAACTTCATCCTATATTATAAGTTTTGTTTCTCTAAAAAACTCTGCATGCATTAATTGTTGGTAAATCCACAAACCGAATTCTCAAGTACTTCCAAAGGAATACGAAATGTTGAATGTGTGGTGTGACCTCCAACCAATAATAATGATGCAAAACCGGATGACGCCACGACAACAACAACATGTCTAAGGCTACGTAGTTTAGTAGCAACTGTATTGTACAGAAACGTCTTTCCTATTCAGGCACCCCCATTCAAGAAAAATGTAGTTCTCTTATTGTCAAATATAGACAAAGTGATCGCAGCATAAGCATTGTGTTGTGCATTATTAAAGTAGTCAATATTAATCTCTACAATTGATTGTTATGCTTTATTCTGGAGTTGTTGATGTTCAAATAACAATTTGTTACCAACAATTACATTCTGGTTCCTAATTAGTTG